CATCTCTGAATTAGTGCTGACACTGTCCTTCCTTCTGCAGGGGGGCTGCTTTTCTTCCCCATGGTCCCTGTGTGTGTTGTAAAGTAGTCACAGCTTCAAGAAGGATTACATCCCAAGATGGACTACAATCTCACATTTAGTTTACTAATTTGTATTGAGATTGTAGTTCTTACAAATAATAGGTGTCTAAACATGAGATTGTAGTCCATCACAAGAGTGATCTTGGAGCAGTGATTCAGGTTTCAGCAGTTTGCACGTCCGTTGTCAGTTCAGTTTACATCAGTTTTATCTCCTTCTCTTCAGCTCTGCTCTTGCTGGCTCTGAAGTCAGAGCTGAAGAAGAGATCACTTAGCCACTCACTGCTGCAGAGCCCACCATAGACCCTGCACAGCCCACCTGAAACCCTGCAGAGCCTACCTGAAACCCCACACAGCCCACCTGAGTGGCCCTGTAAAGCCCATTATAGACCCCACACAGGCCACCTGAGACCGCACACATATCTGAGACCCCCACGCAGACCATCTGAGAGTGAAAATGCAAAGCGCAACATAGATGCTGAACAGCCAATCTTGATGCCTGTACACCAGGCCTCCTCTGCCGCTGGACTGGCCAGAAGTGACGTGATGTCACTTCTGGCCGGTCCGAGATCAGAACACCAGACCGGTGGCGCTGCTGGGGTCCCAGCCTCCTCCAAAGCCACTGGATCGGCACTGCTTGGGCCCGGCACTGCTAGGGCCAGGCACTGCTAGGGCCTACGTGATGTCACTTCTGGCCGGTCCGAGATCAGAACACCAGACCGGTGGCGCTGCTGGGGTCCCAGCCTCCTCCAAAGCCACTGGATCGCTACTGCTTGGGCCCGGCGCTGCTAGGGCCAGGCCTCCTCCTGCGCTCCCACTGATGGCAGCCCTGGGCATGCACTGTAATATTGAGACTAACCTTCAGATACAATGGAATGCCCTCCTGGTACAGCTGGCACTCACCTGGCACTGGGAGGAGTGGAAGCATCCCCACTTGCTGTTGGCTGTTGGTGTGCTGAGCTCAGGCTCCAGTGATCCCTCTTCTAGGTCAATGGCACTGTGAGCTTTGTTCAGCCAGCACTGAGAGCAGCCAGCAGGGGCGTGGTAGAGGCAGCCAGTATGGACCCAACGGGGCGGCTCGTCCTGGCTTCCTATAACGCTGCATGTGTGTTCCCCACATTCTGCAGGGTCACTTCTGTACATTGTACATTCATTCTGTACATTGTGACGCCGCCGAGCCCCAGCTTCCTCATCCTCCGGACTTCCGGACTGCTGTCATGCTGCTGGCCCTCCTACTCCTCTGCTGCTGGGCCCCCAGCTTCCTGACCGGGCCCCCCTCTGCTTGGGCCCCATAGCGACTGCGTGGGTCGTTATGGTGGTAGTTACACCACTGCCTCAACCGACACGGATGTTTTCTGATGTAAACTGATGTTCATCAGTTTTCATCCAACCTGCCATAGATAAGCATTGTTGTTTGTTTTTCATCTGCAAATAGAAGGTTGAAAACCTGACAACCTGAACGCTCGTATGAAAGGGGCCTTACTGTGTGGAGTCCAACTTTAGGTTCTGTAGGTTGTTCTTTCAGAGCATGGTTTTAATGGTTTAGTAAAAATTGGCCTTGGTTACCTAAGCTCCCTAAAGCTTCATTTACATTTAGTATAAATGTGTCACCATGCAGTTTTTGTCCAAAAAGGGCCGCACTCAATGCTTACACCTTCCAAAGCTCCCCAGAACAAAATGAACTCTCTCCATATATGTTTTACCCACTGGACTCAATCTAATTCCTATGATTAAGCCCCATGGGTAAAACATGTAAGGGGAGAGTTTCTTTCCTTCTGGGGAGCTTTGGAAGGTGTAAGCATTGAGTGCGGCCCTTTTTGGACAAAAATTCATACAAGTACTGGAGATCTGAGACTCCGGAGGTGGCTCTCCTATCACTGCATCATGGGTCAGTAAAAGAATTGAGAAAAGGATTAATAAGTCCTATACTGGCAGCAGTGAGGGCAGTAATCCCCAGTAGACATGTGCAATTCGTTTCGTGCCAAATCGAAATTCGGACGAAATTTCGTAAATTCTGAGATTTGGATGTATCCGAATTCCGAATTACAGATATAACAAATGCAAACGAATCCGAATTTCCAAATCCGAAATTTGTTGGATGAAATTTCGTTGCAGCATAGCGACATTTGAGGAAAAAAAAAACTTTTTTTCCTCTTAAATGTCACTTTGCTGCAACAAACAAATGAAACGAAATAGAAACAAACTTTTGTACGAATTACAGCTAACCAATTACCGAATCCAAATGAAACTAAACACATTTTTTGCTGGTGTACATGTCTAATCCCCAGGCATTGGAGGACCTCAAATACCTCCCAGATACGGGAGTAGTTGGATGAGTTAAATGGAGTAATGCGCCTGGAAGAACTTACGGCTCGTCTCTATGATAGGTATCAGATATTTGTGGATAGATATAATGATAGAAGTCTTGTATACCTAGACCCAGAAGAACAAATTAAAATAGAGCATCATTAAAGCTGGCCGGTGTGGGGAAGGTTTTCCTCCTTTTTTGGGGGGGTTTGTTTTTTGTTGTTTTTTTATTTGTTTTTACTGATGTTAGTTTGGTTCTTAAGTTTTTAAGGGGGAGGGGGGATGAGTGTTTCAATGCTGATGAATTTGGTTATATTTTAATGATATTAGAATGCATTGTATAGAACTGTTTAATTATCTATAGTATGAATTTGATAATGTGTTGTAAGTTGAAGTAGAAAATAAAAAAACAATTATTCTTGAAAAAATGTTTTAAACAGGAAGGAGCA